CCCCCGCTTCCCTTACTCTCCTAGTATCGCTATTCCCATTATTATTCCTGAGGGGTTTATTTGTCCTAGATTCCCCATGTGTGAGCTATTATCTGTATCAGTGTACATGATTTGACCTAGGCAGATTTGTAAGGCAGAATTGGGGTCATGATAGTGGGCGAGGGATGGGGTGGAGGGAGGAAGCCTTAAAGAACTAGAAGAAAGTTGTGTGTTTTGTTGGTGATTTACTGCATCCTGACTGGGAAGCCTGTATTTCATGGGCCTGATAATTGTTATAATTGAGTCTTGAAATATAATGCAAAGCCTAATAGAAATTTCAGAGGCCTCCAAGAAATTGACCTCTCTTCAAGGGTTTTCTTTTCTATCATCTTTACTGCCCTGGGAGGGAAAGGGAAACCACTTATTGGAACTACTTTTCTTTCTCAGGCTAGATAAGGAAAGTGAGATTGTCTTGGAACTATGGCTGGGTTCTAAGATTATATAGATTCTGGGTGGTATTTGCACTCTATGAAAAGACATCCATGAGAGAAACTGCTACTGTGATTCTAGAAGTGATGATCCTCCGGTCTTGTATAATCTGAATGAGGGGCATAGGTATTAGGCAAGAACAGTTACCTACTTCCTGAGACCCAGGACAAAAAGCAAAGGTTGAGCCCTTGTTAGAAAATTATTGAGATTTTCAAGATGGCAACATCTTGAAATCATCTGAGTGGGCAATCAAGTGCAGAGTCCTATGAGCAAGGGGCCCTATGCAATGGCAATGATCACTGTCCTGTGAAGCCGGCCCAGTTCCCAGGACATGAGGGGAGATGGACTTATTGAATGTGACAGTTGCCCTTTGGAAAATAGCTACTCTAGATTCTCGGTTGATTCCCAGGGGAGAGAGTGAGGCAGATGTTAGCAATCTTGGAGACTGCCCCACCAGGAGAACATACTTTTCTGACTTGGCATGGGTTTCTGGATCTCAAGGGCATATTTGGATCCATAAACCTCTCAACTCCAGCCTAATCACCAGCTATCCATCATACCTGAAGTTATTTTAGGGTGACCTATGGTGAAGAGATTTAACTTTTAATCTTCATGCCTGAGGATTGGGTTCCAAATAGAATGCTTCCAGGAACTTAATGCAATACGACACACATATATTAATAGGGCCTAGTGGTTTTGTTCTTGTTGCCCTGCCATTAAGACTGTCTATTCTTAGCCTGCTTCTCTTCTTTTTACTCCCTCTTCCAGACTGAGTTTTCTCCTACCTCCATAATGCTCACTGGTACCAGATCCTGAGCCTCTCTGCTTACCATTTTCACACTCCCCACCCCCACCCCTGACAAACACTTCTACTGAGCTGCTTCTCCTGATTTCTAGAACCAGAATATAAGGACCTTTATATCCTTGAAATTGGTCACATGATCCACCTCATTCCCAGTCAAGGCTTCTGTCTTTCTTAGTCCCATAGTTTTCTTGAGTCCTTTTTTGGTCTTCTACCCCTCTTTATGCTGCTAAAGGATCAGGGAAGGAGGGGCTGGCCAGTCTAACTATCTCAGTGCCTTCATTGGGGGTTGTCTTGGGATCACCTTCTAGTTCAATTCACCCATCTATCTTTTTAGAACCCTATTTAGTTCATATGTTCAACCTTTTTACATTTAGGAGAATAAAATCATCCATTATAACCCCCCAGTGCCTAAATGAAAAAATATTTACTATGAGTAGATATTTAAAAGGAAACCAGTTTTCATTAAGAAAAAGTAAACACTACCTTCCTCTCGGGGAAATTCTGCCAACTTGCCTGCCCTCTGCAATGCTTAACATACGCTGGGGAAATCCCGCTCACCTTCTTCCAGGGGAAGTCCTACCTGCATGGCTGGGGGAACGTCTTCCCAACCTCTGTGGTACCACGTGACTGAGGGAACTTCCTCCCACCTGCTGTAGTGCCTCACATAGTCTAAGGCAGCTTGGTCAACATTCTCCAGTGCTCCATGCTGCTGCGGGAAACTCTGCCCAACCTCCATGGCCGTCTATCTGACCAGTGCAATTCCGACCACCGTCTGCAGTGCTCTACATCAAAGCAGGCACACCCATCTGCCTTATGCAGCACTCCCATTGCATCAGGCACCCCCGTATGCCCTCTGTGGCACCCCAAGCTGCTGTGGGCCACACTATCATGGCTTCTTGTGAGATCACCCAGTACAGCACCAACCTTGAGGGTCCACAACCACCCAACCGGCATCCCCTGAGAGGACCATCCAACTTGCCCTCCTGAATACTGGTTGACTAGGGAAAGCATGAAGCCACAGGAGGATAAAGCAGTAGGCCAATCCCATAGTGCAATTAGATTCAGGCCATTCGAATAATCATTCCTACGAGTCTCCCAGAGGGATCCCAGTGCTCTTCGACCCTCTGGAAAATGGCACTGGGCTCCTCTAAAACAAGACAACACAAACATCAAACAGCCCCAACGTCCTTAACAAAAAAAACAGGAGAAACAAAAGGCCATGCTGTCAGATGTCAAGAACCTAATGACATGCATAGAAGAAGCAGACATTGATCTGCCAAAGAAAGAAATTTTCAAAATGTTGCTTGGAGTCATACAGGAGATGAGGGAAATAATACAGAAAAAGGATGAAATAATAGAGGAGATAAAGATTAAATACCAAAGGGAAATACAAGAGCTTAGGGATGAGATAACAATAACCAGTAACAGACTCACAAACTTTGCCAACCAACTGGAGGAGGCAGAGAATTACATCACTGACCTAGAGGACAGCCAAGCAGATTTTAACAAACACGAGCAAAAGTGTAATAATATCATTGGAGAAGCTGAGGAAAACCTAAGAGCTATGTCTGATGCTATTGAGATGAACAACATCAGAATAATTGGATTACTGGAGGAAGACACAACAAAGAAGTCAACTGGAAAATAGTGAAATAATTCTTGGGAAAACTTCCCCAGCTTAATAAATGAAAACCAGGCATCCATTCAGGAGGCTGAAAGAACACCAACTAGACTGAATCCCAAGCAGAAGTTACCATGGCACATAATACTGTGTTTTCCCAAAAGTAAGACATCCCCCAAAATAAGACCTACTTACAGTTTTGCCTTTTGCTGAAATATAAGGCATCCCCCGAAAATAAAGCCTCCCAGATAATAAGGTCCCCCGAAGCTACCATAACTCTGGACTCTGGACCGTAGCAGCTGGTTCCACCACACAGCTCACTGTTGACACAGTGCAGCTGGAGCAGACAGTAAATGTATCATAGATTATGAGTAAATGTACCATAGGTTGTTGTACATGGAAATAATGGTAGTAACAAGACATTCTTGATACTGTAGATTCACAGTTTGTCTGGTTATGCTGGTTTGTGATGACAACTACTACTGTACCATATACAGGTAATAAATTTCCCTTTTTTTTGTTCAACAATAAATGTGTACTATATTTTTATTCAAGGAAAAATAAGATATCCCCTGAAAATAAGACCTACCACATCTTTGGGAGCAAAAATTAACATAAGACACTGTCTTGTTTTTGGGGAAACATCTCAGGGTA